TCCTGGAATTTTGTATGTTAGGAGGTTTTTGATTACTGATTCAACCTTCCTACTAGTAATCAATCTGTTTAGATATTCTCTTTCTTCATGATTCAGTCTAAGAAGGTTGTATTATTCTAGGAATTTATTCATTTCTTTCAACTTGAGAGCAGAAAGAAGGGGACAGAGAAAAGAATCAGTGAAGCAGAAGATATAATGAGAGAAATCACCCAAGCTGAACAACAGAGAAAAGAAACACTAGAAAAAAAAGAAAACTTAACAGAGCTCACAGGGATGTGTGGTATAATAACAAGAATATCCAAAATTTTAGAATCATACAACCTTTCAAGACTAAATCACAAAGAAGTAAAATATCTGAATATACCAATCACTTGGAAAGAGATTGAAACAATAATCAACAAGCTCTCAAAAAACAAAAATTCAGGACCAGATAGCTTCATAGATGAATTCTACCAAACATTCAAAGAAGATTGAAAACTTATCCTTCTCAAACTCTTCCAAAAAATTGAAGGGAAGAAACAAACCCTAACTCATTCAACAAGCCCCACATTACCCTCATACTAAAACAAGACAACACAAAAAAGAAAATTGCAGACCAATATTTCTGATGAAAGTAGATTTAAAAATCCTCAATAAAATATTAGTAGACCAAATTTAAAAATACATCGAATGAATCATAAACCATGATCAAGTAAAGTTTATCTAGGAATGTAAATAATTTGACATCTGCAAATCAATCAATGTGATACACCATGGTAACAAATGATAAAAATCATATGATAATTTCAATAAATGCAGAAAAAGCTTTTGACAGAACAATCATTTATAAATAAAAATGTGTATAGAAGGATCATCCTTCAACATAATAAAGGTCACATGTGTCAAAACTACTGCTAACATTATATTCAATGGTAAAAAACTGAAAGCTATCCCTTTATAATCAAGAACAAGACGAAGATTCCCACTCTTGTCACTACTATTCAACATAGTATTTGAAGTCCTGGAAGAGAAATTACCCAAGAAAAAGAAATAAAGACATCCAAATTGGAAAGAAGAAGTAAAATCGTCAATATTTAAGTTCTCCTTTGATTTCTTCTTGTTCAGTAGCATGTCATTTAATCTCCAAAATTTTTTTAATTTTTCAGTATTCTTCTTGTAATTCATTTCTAGTTTCCAAAATTGTCATTTAATTAAGACTTTTGAAACTTGTAACATAAAAGGCCATGTGTAAAAATATTAATAAATCTGTAAAATTACCAAACCATCAAAATACTACCTACTATTATAAAACTATCTCCATAAAGTAGAATAAAAAAATGGAAAACAAAAACATCAAATTAGAGATTTACTTTTAGTATTTCCCCTAAGCCTCAATTATTAAAAATCAAAAGTACTTCCCAGAAGATGGAAAGATTTTACTTGTTTTCTAGTCCTCCTGTAACTAAAATTTCAGGGAATAGTATATGTAATAAACATAAGGAAACTCTGAAAGGTAGAGGGACAAGTCTGACAAGTGTGAGAGTACAGGACTTCAGGAACAACATGGTAATGAGTTCCCACATTTTCTTTTGGCCTCTTATATCCCAGATGTACCCTGGAATCCCAATAAATATAGATAAAAGAATGCCCTGACAAAAACCTGCTCTCTCTAGACAAAAGACCAGTGAAGGGTACTTTATCCAGCAAGGCTA